AGAAAAATCTCACTTGAATCATCGATCGGTTGGTTCAATTGAGAATGAAGGAAAGAGAAATGTGCAATATCTAAACTATTCAATCTCTTACTCTATACATTCGTCATGTATTTGAGCGGTTATAAGACTATATACTATTTAGAAAAGTAGAATACACGTCAAGCGATGTATAGTGAGAAAAAAATATCGATTGCATAGAATAGTGACGCACTTCGTTTCTCGATGTCGAAGCAAAGCGAAGAACACGTGAATGAGATGACATCATTGTAGCACTTTTCACTGTCGTTTTCATTAAAAGTTCGATGTCTTAAATATGTATTCTTCATAGTTTTTTCTTCAATAATTTGAAAAAAGTATTGTTGCATTTTCATCTCCATATGAAAGAACTTAAGATCTCAACTGGAAAGAAACAAGTAGACACCATTTTTCAGTAATACCTAGAAAAGACTCGCGAGTAACGCTCTAAAATAGCACAATATCTCGTACTGAACCACTTTGTGTATAGTAATAAATAAAACGGAAAAAAACAAGCATCAATTATCTACCTATTCATCTTTACCTGCTGTTTTTGCTAGGATTGATTCTGTACAAACTGTCTCGAATATGCGAGCGATGTAAATAAAATCAACTGATCTTATACAAACAGAAATAGAGAAAATATAGAAGTGGCGGGGTTTCTCCATCTGTACTCACACATTCAAGTAAAAAAATTGACGAAGAAAAGAAAAGATTAATCATTTGCACATGTCTACCTGAAGAAAAAAAAGACGGAAAGAAAAACACAGGTCCTTCACAAAACACATATTTATCGGACCGGGTAAGAAAACGAAAGAGACAGAAAGAACATGTGAGAGAAGAAGATCAACGAAGCGCAGCGTCTATGTGAAAACAAATTGCTTGGCAAATGCAAAACTAACATTACCTGATTTTATTTTTAAGCTAAGCAAAAGTTCGTGACTATCGAATAAGAAAACGTTGAATCCTATTCATCAAATGCTAGTACAGTCAGTTTCGCATTCGTTGAACAACCAATAACTTTAGTTATCTGCAAGGAAGTCTGATGTGAATTCATTTATTATTTAGACATTCTTCACACATGTGCGATGAATAAATTGACAATGGTATGAATTGAAAGAAAAAGAAGGAAAGTCTATTGTTAATTATTTATTGTTTGAAAGATCATTCAATTTATTGACAAAAGTTTCTGTTTTTTTTTGAGGAGATAAATGAAAGTATTCAAATTGCCGTATCATACCGATGGCTTAGTGTTTGGAAAAAAGTTTGAATGATTCTTTTCGAAAACCTTCGGTGGAAGATACGTACAAAAAACATCAATTATACTGAATAACAAATTACTTGAAATTATATGTAATTGTAGGAATAATTTTATGTTTGTATGATGTTGTTGCACCAAGAAACAGACTTTTATTAGAATATGGATCGATACCAATCTATCCTATCTTGTACGTATTCTATTACACGGCACAGAAACAACTAGAAATAAAAAAATAATAAGTGGATGTTTGATGATATCCTCATAGACTATGTGTTGCAATTGGTTGATGGGACGAAAAGTATAGCACAGAGAGAGGAAGCCAAAAGGAATGGCAACCGATGCATGACGAAGAAAACAAGGAAAAAAAGATTGTAAGAATATAGATGAATAGAACGTGAACTAAATACTCCTCTGAATATAGATTCTCTCTTTTATTTCTTATGTTGTTTTCAATGTTCTTTATCATTTCTGATGAAGTTGACTATAAGTTAGCGAAAGTTCGAAAGTGTCTTTCAATGATTAAGTGAAAATAATGATTATAATAGCAATTTCTATATTCAATTTACAATTATCATTAATCTACTTAATATTGTTATGTTATAATTGCTATTAATTAACTTCAGAAAATCACAAAAGATAAGCTATTGAATATGACAATGTCAAATACAACACTGTATGAACTCCTTGACGTGAAACAAAACGACGACAGCTGAAAAGCGAATCAGAAGCGTCAAAAACATTTCGCCTTATATACCGTACTTACGAAATATTGTCGGATTCTGATAAACGAATACATTATGTTCAAACTAAGGAATGAATATGGCATATATCTATAGAGAAATATGCATTGCAACAATTTGTATCCGAATCTTATATTATTCTATCATTGAAAAATCGACTGAAGAATGCAACATTGAGAGAGGGTGTGGGTGTGGGTGTTTTTCTCTTGTTCACTCATATCCACACCCCTAAGATTATTTTATAAATCTAGTAGAAAACTAATCTACCTATTAAAAACAATGCATATTTATATTATCCATAAATATGAATATTTGAAAACATTCTTTACAATACATGAAAATAAGCTAAGAGTCTCGGGTGGATGTGTGGGTGAGGTGTGGGGACACGAGTTTTAATTAAAAAGAAAGATCTACACCTACAACTCACATCCATGTCCACACTCACACCCCATCAGCAACAATAGCTATAATTGATGATGATGATGATTCTTGATTCTGTAAAAAAAACAAATATATTTCTTTAAAAGATTCATTTCGATGCAAAGCAAAAAAATCTATTTCGAAGCGATTTCCATGTGTTATTGGATTTTGATTCTTTTTAATCGATTCAAATGAATTACGAAAAAGAAAGTGATTTTTTATCAATTAAACTTCATTACTCATCAAAACGTGAAAGAATCTAGCGACCACAAAATATTTTATTTCTTACTTACCAAAGTATTCTTTGATAAATCGAATAATTTAATCTAAAAGTAAAATATGATGACATTTAATAATATACTCAAATTTCCACTCACTCCAATTTTCTTGAGTTGCTCCAATAGGCCACCGTCCTCCAGACTTGTAAGAACTTTTGTGCCGGCCTAGAACAGTTCAATAAAATCTATTTCGATGATGAAAATAAACGTATATAGGAAAAAAAATCATTTTAACCCTACATTTAATAATTCAGCACTTAATTCACTTTTATTGATATACATGGCCGACATACATCGAATTTATCACTACAAATACCAGTTCAATTAATTTAAAGAAAAATTCCCAATGAGTTGATTAATAGAAGAAATAGCACCAGACTTCGAGTCAAATTAACCAAAATATATAACCGTAGTTCAATTTCTATAATATACCACAATAATTTTTTTACACACTTGTTTCACCGAGCTCTAATTTGTTTTTGGACAAAAACAAACAGTCAAAAAACTTAGAGATCAAATTTAGCTTTATAATGTAGAAAATTGCATCAATATGTAAAACGGATGAAATTATTGAAAATACAGATACATCATCCATATCAATGATAAAAAAGAAAACAATCACAATCTGTTACTGTTAGCGGCTAACCCTGCTAGTATTATGTATTTTCTTTTTCGTTCTCTTTATTCTTGTTAGTTATTTCTTTCATGTGATATGTTTCAGGTCATTTTTCTCTCATGTTTTGTACCCTGGATCTAGTTTATACATATAAGATAAATGACTGACTTAAAAAAGTCTAGAAAATCTCTGAGAACTAGAAAATGATAAAATGAAATAAAAATCAATGTTCGACATATATTTATATAATAAAAGACTATATTCACTTGAATAAACAATATTTTATTCAATTATATATGACATTTGAATTATAAGCATTAATTATAATAAACAACGTCATTTTTTATCTATTTAAACTTTCATATAAATAGAAAAAAAAATTGAAAAATAGCCTAGGTCTTCAATGTAGATGATCTTTTAATTATAACTCGATTGATACTTTTATTATCGTAATCAACTGTTAATTATATTAAATTGATTGTTGTTCAACGTCGCCTATTAGACGAACAAATTCAATCGGATATTAAACTTAAAGAATTTCATCAATCAGAGAAATTTTTAAGATATTTATTATAAGAAAAACCAAATGATTTATTATCTGATTTTCATGAATAGACAATCAACTATTATAGATCGGATCTTTTTCTATTTATATTTATTTAATAATAGAACTATTTTTAAATATTGATTAAAATAGTTGAATATAGAATAGAATCGAGAAAAATAAAGAGAAGAATTTATTGAAAAATACCTATTAATGAAATGAATGTCTCAATATGGAATTATTGAAAATATATTTAATGGAAATAAATAAATAATTCAAAAATAGTTACTTGATCATTCATCTATTATTAATCAAACATTTCAACAATAAATTTATGAAAAAAAATCACATTAAAATCTAATTAGATAATATTTTGTTTTATATCGATATTAACAAATGTATTTATTTGATTTTAAAATAATTATTTATCATATTTAAAATAAATAATATTCTATATTTTAATAATCAACCTATATTTATCTTTTTCATAATTATAGTTAAAATAATATTTATTTGTTATTGTTATTATCAACATTTTTATCAATTAGAAAATTAAAATAAATTGAAAAAATCTAATGGTTTTTTTTTCAAGAGTAGCTCAATATTGACATATTATATATCTAGATGCATTTATTCTATATTATTTAAAATAAAATTTATTTAATTAAAATAAAACACGAGAAATTTCTTGAAATATTTTCTTGTCTTTAATTAATATAAAATAATTTTAGTATCTATCTAGTGAAGGTGTGGATGTCGGTGTTCTCGTCGTCATCACCTATACCCTCATTTTTCTCGATTCGTAAACTCTAAGAAAAAAAGTGTTGTTTCTGCATTTTCTAGAACAAATCCGGATACAGATGCGCTATTAGTGAAAGTGATGCATTTTCCATTTTTAACTATTTGTCTTAGTTATCTAAAAATTAGGTTGTATTTTATCTAGATAAAGATATAAAACAATATTAATGCTTTTAGTCTACATTTCCTTGTTTGAAATTGATAATAAAACGAGAAAGTATTATACATTAAATTTAGCAATCTCTTGATAATCGTCAGTTACTATAGTTTTATAGTGATTAAGATGAATTTTCGAATGATACTTTTCATGAAATTATTCATTGTGGTAATGACTGAATCGAACATTTCATCTTTTCTTTATAATATCAATCGTTATTCAAAAACAAATTTTGATTGTCTTTATGCTCATATCATTGATGATCTTTATCAAAACGATGGAACATTTATTCGTACAAATTATTTAACTCCCTTTTGCCAACGTCCACTATTAAATGAATCTATGAATGAAGATTTAACATCGAAAGAAGGATATGTGAAAAATAGAATAAATTTTTCAAGTTTACGTTCTCAAGGCATTAGTAGTGAACAATTACTTGAATGGTCAATATCAATCGATATAATTGAAGAATATGCTATATATTTGATTCAAAATGATCCAAAACTTGGTGAAATTATTTTTTTAAATTGTTCATCATTATGGTTTGGTTCTCATTGTCAATATACATTTGGTTCAAATATTGAAATTAAATCATTTGGTGATTTTCTAGTTTCTTCATTTAATAATCGACAGAAATATTCTTATAAACTTACAATAAATACTTGTTATCCACATTTATTTGGATGTTTCCGTGGTCCTAAACCAATGTGTTTAGATTGGCGTGAAATATGTAATGGAATAATTGATTGTATTGGAGATAATTTTGGTATAGATGAAAAATATTGTGATGAACTTGAAATGAATGAATGTAAACAAGATGAATATCGATGTCATAATGGAGCTCAATGTATACCATTAGAATTTTTTCGAGATGGTTGGACAAGTAAAGATTGTTTAGATGGAACAGATGAACAAGAAACTTTCACAAACAGTCCGGAGTTTAATGATGTCAGTACTTTAAATTGTATAAAAATGTTAACATTTTCTTGTGAAGAACGTAGTTGCCGTTATCAACGATCATTTCCATGTGGTGATGGGGAATGTCTGGATTTTGGACTGAATAATGGTCATTTTAAAGGAGTTTCTTGTTCCGGTACAAGACGTGATATCGATTATGCTTACAGTATTTATAAGACTCTCAATCATCTTTCGGATGATTGTCAGAAATTAATATTTCACAAATTCGGTTTGTATAGACCATCTCCAAACAAGAAGGAAGATTATACATCTGAAAATTGGTTATCATTAAATAATTGTTCAATGGATAATGTCTCATTTCCTGCATATCCTATTTTCAATGGTTATTTTCAAGTTATCTATTCAACTAAAAGTTTGATCAATGATTCGTTTAGTAATGCACCACCGGATTATGTCTGCAATGATCCACGACAATGTTTACATTTACCAAAAGCAACACTTCAGATAGGAGGTTTAGATTGTCGACCATTTAATCAAGTCGTTGAAGAATCTTATATTATGAATTTGTATGATTTACATTCTGCTCTTGATTCACTCATGGATATTTGTTCATTAATGGGAAATATTAATAAATATACATCGAATTCATCTTTATTTTATTGTCAATCATCACAAAGATACATTTCTAAACATCGTCTTATTGATAATATTGTTGATTGTTATCATGAAGAAGATGAAAAATATCAAAATAGTTGTTTATTAAATGATACTCAACGTTTTCGATGTCAATCAAAACAAATATGTATATCACCTATAGGTATTACTATGTTTTCGGGTGACTGTCGAGATGAATATATATCCCTCACTAAGCCTAAATCGTCTCTATTGGCGTTTCTATGTAATTTCATCCCTGAAGTTCGCGAAGAGAATGGTGATGATGATGAAACAAACTGTGAATGGTGGCCATGTAATAATCCTTACACTCGATGTGATAATATATTTCATTGTGCCAATGGTATTGATGAATTCGATTGCCCTAATTCTTATTGTAATATTAATGAATTTAAATGTATTATTGACGATTCTATCGATTATCTATGTATTTCTCAAGCTAATATCTATGAAAAACCAATTAATTGTAGCAAACATAATGATGATGAAATTATTTGTCGAAAATTATTTTATTCAGCTAATTTAATTAATGAAAAAAATGAATATTTATCATGGAAAGAAAAAACATGTTTAACGGATAATGATATTTGTGGTCAACAATCACTTAATAATCAGCGTTTAATATGCAATCATGACACAGTATCGATGTCTTCTCTGTGTAACAAATTAATATGGGATATAAATAATAATAAGCCATTATGTGCCTTACAACTTGGTGACGTTATTTTTCGTTATAATCGTTTCTTTTCTAAATTCAATCTTGGATATTTTCCATCAATAATAAATCAAACATCATTATCCTCACGAAATCATATCAATATGAAAATAACAACAAAAGTATCTATGAATACAAGTATTGAATTAATTGAATATTGTAATCGTGGTATTTTGATCTATGAAGGTAAATCATATAAAAAGAAATGTTTATGTCCACCAAATTATTTTGGTGATCAATGTCAATGGCAAAGTCAACGTATTAGTTTAACACTTCAAATGCGTCCAATGGGTTCTATTGATAAAAAAAATTCTATTTATCATATATTTATTTATCTTATTGATGATGAATATAAAATAATTCATTATTATGAACAAATCAATTATATACCATCAATAGATTGTCAAACAAAATTTAATCGTTATTTACTTTATCCAACAAGACCAAAAAATGTAAAACATAATTATTCAATACATATTGATATGTTTGATAAAATAACATTAATTTATTATGGAAGTTGGTATTTATCTATTCCTTTTCCATTTTTACCGGTTAATCGTTTATCGACACAATTAATTATTCCATATGAGAAACCTGAATCTTCGAAAAATTGTTCATTAGAATGTGGAATACATGGAAAATGTTTTTATTATATCAATTCACCAAAATCATTTTGTAAATGTGATCAAGAATATTCCGGTCGTTTTTGTCATTTAAAACATGAATGTTCATGTTCACCCAATTCAATCTGTTTAAATTCATCGATTTGTTTATGTCCATTAAATAAATTTGGTTCAAAATGTTTTTTACAACATACATCTTGTCAACCTGATAATCCATGTCAAAATAATGGACAATGTATACCGATTAATGATCGAATTAATAAGAAAGGGTTTATTTGTTTATGTAATGAAGGTTATATGGGATTAAATTGCGAATATAAATCAAATAGAATTGATATTACTTTTAGAACAGATGTTATTCCATCAGTAATCTTCGCACATTGGATAATAGCATTTGATGATAGAAGACATCAACGAATAACAACATTTAAAAAAGTACCACTTGATCAATATTCAGTTACATTATTTGTTAAAGAACCATTCAATATTTTATTTATTGAATATTTAAATAATTCTTATCTAACTGTTTTAAGAGAAGAATTTATTCCATTAGATGATATTTCAATTGATATCAATATTGATAACATGTGTGTAAATGTATCTAAATTGTTGAATTCAACAATATTTAATTATAATTATCTTCATCGAATAAAATATTATCAATTTCCATGTGTTGAAAATCTGAAATTAAAATGTTTTTATGATGAAAAACATATGTGTATTTGTGATAAAAATCGATATTCAAATTGTTTTGATTATAATCATAATATGATTTATAATTGTCGAGGATATAATTATTGTCAAAATAATGGAAGATGTTTTCAAGATAATGCAACTTGTCCAACAACAACGATGTGTATGTGTGAAAAATGTTATTATGGAAATAAATGTCAATTTAATACAAAAGGTTTTAGTTTATCACTTGATGCAATATTTGGTTATCATATTAAACCGTTTATATCATTTTTTAAACAATCAAAATCAGTTAAAATAACGGCAACATTAACGTTTATTATGTTTATAATTGGTTTTATTAGTGGACTATTATCAATATTAATTTTTCGAAAAAAATCTTCGATGATGGTTGGTTGTGGAATTTATCTTTTAACAACATCAATTACATCATTATTAACAATAACTATTTTTACAATAAAATATTGGCAACTTATTTTTTTTCAAATGAATCTTATAACAAATCGTTCATTTCTTTATATGAATTGTTTATTAATTGATATGTTATTGAAAATTTTTCTTAGTTCAGCTGATTGGTTAAATGCATGTGTTGCTATTGAACGAGCAATTACTAGTCTACAAGGAATTAAATTTAATAAATTAAAAAGTCGATATATAGCTAAACGTGTTATACCAATAATATTCTCTTTAACAATTCTTACTTATATTCATGATCCAATATCTCGTCAATTATTTGATGATGAAGATGAACAACGAACATGGTGTATTGTTAATTATTCATTTCAATTGAAAATATTTGATAGATTTATTAATCTATTTCATTTTTTCACACCATTTATAATTAATTTTCTATCTAGTTTGATTATCATTATTCAAGTATTTAAAACTCGAACAAAAACTCAAAAGAAAGTAAAAAATAAAACTCTTTTTTATGTTCAAATCAAACGACACAAACATCTTATTATTGCACCATGTATTTTAATTCTATTAGCTTTACCTCGTTTAATAATATCATTCTCATCAAAATGTATGGAATCAACTCGTGATCCATGGCTTTTTCTTAGTGGTTATTATATTTCATTTGTTCCATCATTACTTATCTTTGCAGTATTTGTATTACCTTCAAAAAAATATAAAGAGGAATCTCTTATTCTTATAAGAAAAAAATCTCGTACGACGCAATAAAAATGCAACATTTGTTTGTTTACTATCGATATATATATGTTTGCTTATGTCTTTCTTTGTAAGCTATTTGTTCAGTGTTGTCTTATTTCTATTCATTTATTATTTATTCGTTTTTTTTTGTTTATTTCGTTTTTCTTGATTTCGTATTATATTCATATCTTTTAACCATTGATTCAACTGAAAAATAACTCTTTTGTACAAATCAATTGATGAACATGAAGAGAGAATTCACAAAGTTACTTTCTCTCTGGTCATCATTCAGCTCTCACCCTCTGCACAGTAGATAAAAAAAGAATGTCAAGAACAATTCTTTTAACGATTGGTATTATCAACTTAATATTTTGTGTACATACAGCTGGCACTTGATACTGATTATCTGCACTAATCCAGACTTTCTCACTCGAAAGATTCCTGGAAAATGAAGTTTTCAGCTTTCGAAAACTGCGACTTAGTATAATAAAAAGTAATTATTCCACTATAATGCTTCTCAGAAGACGGAGAGAGCAACTTATTTCATATTTCCTAGACTGAAAGGATAAGGTCTAAAAATCGAAATTCACCTGTGTCTGTCTGTCTGTCTGTCTTTCGATAATGCGGTCGAAATGGCCATGGTAACTATGATACAAATGACCAAATAACAGGGTGAGAACAGCTACCATAACTAGTTTCACGTTGGTAAAGACAATCATCAGATGAGTTAAGATCTTCAATTGATTTAAAGAAGAATCAAAAAGATCAAATTCAAACACCGTTGAAAAGTTCAAAGCAAAACCATGAATAAATCCAATGATGAATTCAAATATTTGTTGATAAGGTCTAAAGGAAAGATCAATAACTTGAAGTTGATTCCTTATTCAATACTAACAATTTAATCTCAGGATAGACCATACCTGTGTTCCATATCGTTGTCGATTCGCATGCCGTTTTTTCTTTAATCGTCTCTTTTGTTTTTTCTCAATTGATACATAATTGCATGATGCATTCATTCAATCGTTTATTCTCTTTAGTTTCATGACTAGAACAAAAGCACTGGATCAGATAGAAGAACTAAATGAACATAGTGGAATTCATGAGGAGTTGTGGAAGATTCCGGTTTTTATTCAACGTCACTGTTCATCAGGATGGTACACATATTTCACTATACAGTCAATATTCAATGGTTTTCCTAAGAGGAAAGGTCGTATTCGCGATATGGTGATTCATATTTTTCACCGAGAATACTGAAATCGGATGTTTTTGGTTCATAAACTTACTTTAGTCGTTTATTGAACATTCATCATCGATGGAATAAAACAACAGGCATTCTATTATCATCAAATGCTAATATTATATGTCTTACCAATCGCAGTGATGGGCAGCATGCTAGTGTTGATGGATGAAATTAACTGTGAAAATGAATATCAGATGAATATACCACTTTTCACTCGTCCTTACATAATATCTATTCAATCTCTCTCTCTCTCTCTCGTTTGCTTTTTCCAAAATTCTTTCGATATCTTTTTACGTGGGTAAGAAAACGTTCATGAGTCAGGAATGGCCATGAAAGAATTCAATCCTTGACCAAATGGGTGTAGGTGTGTGGGTGAGTGTAGGGTGCGGATGTCGATGTGCGTGCAGTGTAGATATGTGGGTGTTGGTTAATCACCTTTATTTACACCCACACCCTCACCTCCGTAAATGCGTTGAAATGATGTTTCGAAGTGACATTTTATAGTGGAAAGTGTATTACAAAAAAGAAAGAACGATGTATTTGAATGCAAAAATAGGATTTCTTTTGAAGAATATGTCTTTAGAAGAAGATGTTTTTTTGGAGATTTGTTTTTGTAACATAGTGAATATAGTATTTAAAGTGGTGTGTAACGGTCACATTCTTTTTGGAAATGGTTTGGTCCATTAATGGGTTTTAGACACGAAAAACAATATTACTTGAAACATCCACTACAGACAATCCAATTATCGTCACCTATTTTAACATTGAATTTATTACATGAATTATTCGGACATAGTTTCACTCGTTTGACGATAGCAGAACCAACAAATGATCGATTATTAATTAAAATCTTCGTATCTTGCTTATTTTCATCCTCTGCCAATTGATCTGAATCAGTCTTTTCGATGTTTTGTTCAGATACTTTAGCTAAAAGAAAATCCAGATTCTATTTAATATTGAAATAATCTCTTTTACAAACCTGTATCTGGTTTTTTATTTAATTCTTCTTTGATAGATTGTACTGACATAGCATTAGAAGAATGATATAACAATGAAGTTATTTCAGGAGGTCGTGGTCCTTCTGGTGACGACCAAGTAAAATGATAATCGCATCTTGAACAATGCATATGTGAACAACCACCATTTTTTTCAATTCTTGCATGACAATTTGGACATGGTTGAGTATTAAGTACTTCCATTCGTTCAGCATTTAAAATCTTTTCTAATAAAATATCTTCGTCAGATAAGTCAATGGCAATTTCACGATAATGTTGTTTAACAAGATTTCTTTCAGCTAAAGTTGCTTTTTGTTTTTCAATTCTAGGTAATTCTGCAAGAGCTTTTTCTCGTTCTTTGGCAAATCTCTTTTGATCTTTTTCTTGTACTTTTCGATTTCTTTCACTTTCTTCTTCCCGTTGCTTTGAAATTCTTTCACGTGCTTTTTGTTGTTGTAATTTTAATTGTTCAATTAAATAATCTTTTGGACACATTACTTGAAAATGATAAATTTCTTTACATTTTTTACAAAATGTATAACGACATTGATCACATATCGCTAAGTTATCATCACCACTTCCGATAAGAACAGCAGATTGACATCTAAATTAATTAGTCTTTCCTTAGTGTAACATCTTCGAAGCAAAATATCTTATTTTGATCAAAATGCAACTTACAGAGATATGGCAGATCTTTAGCATTAGGTTTTAGATAATGTAACATCAAGATTTATAAGATGATCTCGAAAAAAAATTCTTATTAGAAGGTAATTATTGAAAATCATTTTTGCATCAGTTTGAGTAGTCTCACCGATATAAAGTTCACCACTAAATGTGGATTTGAAGTGAGCTGTTTCACAAACGAAGCAAAAAATCAAATTAGAAAGAATGTTCGAGATGGTCGTTCATATGACCATCCTTAAATATAAAGCATGCTTTCATGGAACAGTTCAGAACAATCTACGTAGTTCTGAACAGTAGCAAAAGAATATAGACCAAATACTATAGGTAAAATTTCTAGTAGAAGATGATTACACATTATCTTTAGATCAGTAAGATTTCTGTCGATTGTATCTTGCTCCGAAGATGTTCGATTACGGTTATGAATCTATTTGTCACTGACCTTGGACACCATATGATATCATTCATTAATTCTAAAGCATGTTGTAATGTTAATCTTTCATATCTTTGATATAACTGATCATCTTGAATAATTAATTTCATTTCATTTGGAAGTAATGCTTTTTGACATTGATTTTGTGGACAAAGAAGTTTTTCACCAAATCTTCCATTATCAAATGTTATTTTAACATAATTATTCAAACATGATTGACAATAAAAATGTCCACAACGATAAAGACGAATACAATCTATTCCTGAAATAATATCTGTACAGATTAAACATGTTTGAAGTTGATTTCGAAATTGTTTTTCTTTTTGTTCATTATTATAATTAATTAAATATTGATAAATTTGATCAATATTCTCATTTAAATATCCATTTAACCCTTTGAGGACCAGCGTACTTTATAAAGTACACATTTTTTTAAGTTTCTAAATATTTCAATAACTCGTGAACGCAAAAAGATATTAAGAAGCGGTTTGCTCTATGACATAGAAAAGACTTCTGTGCATACATCTATAGAAGAATCGTAACCTTAATGGAGTCACTCAGGTAGTAAGCTTGAAGAGCTTTTGGGATACCACCTCCAGAAGAAGGAGGGCAGCTAATGCTCTTTCGCGGTTCCCTAAATATTTCGCTTTTCTACATTAGAATCAAGTTAGGATTGACTCCTTGTAATATTCCGAAGGTCGGTTTTGCGATAGCTCTCAGTCGAGTTTTGACCACACCCGTACTCCCCTACGGGGATGGGTCAAAAATGACTTTAAAGATTTTTAAAAATTTTTGATGAAAATACTCACAATACACACTGTCAATATTAAATATAAAATCTGAAAGAAATTTCGTTCATTGGTTGAGCAATGGTCCTCAAAGGGTTAATGCTCGTGGATCATTGATTTGTTCATCATCGAGTTTGGTATGAAGGATAAGTTCGTTACTAATTTGATTTTTAATCAATTCGATCCAATCATAAACACAAACTTCACCATTTATCAATGGATAATTATCAAGTTTTTGGCAAAGATTCTCTAAAGATGATTTTGAAAAATAAAAACATGAAAGAATAAATGGGTGGGTGTGGGGGTGTGTGAGTGTGAGTGTGGGTGGGTGTGGGTGTGGGGGTGGGGGTGTGTGGATGTGGGTGGGTGTGGGTGTGGGTCTGGGGTGTGGGTGAAGAGAAG